TTTTTTTTTGAAATTTTCAAATTTTGACCCGGCCGGGTTATGAAAACCAATTAATTAATTTTGCATGGCCTAATATTTAAATAATTTTATAAGTTTATTGTAACTCTATTTTTAATATATGAAGAATATGGTTATAAAATGTAATTATTATATATAAATAATATAATTAATATATAATAAATATATTATTAATTTAAAAATATAGTAATTATACCATTATTATATATCTAATAATTATATAATAATCATATTTATAATATCTCTATTGTAATCATATTTTTAAAAAATCAAAGTTTCTGTAAAGTAGTTAAGATGCTGCAACTAGTGTTTTAAGCCATCTAAGACAGTTGTGACTAAATCGGCTTACCGTATTTCACGGAATAACGCCCATGAACGTCATTTCGAATTTTGGCCCAAATTAAGTTTAATTCGGGCTAAAATTCGAAATTACACCTGACGTTATTCGCGAAAATACGGTATATCAGCCAACCGATACAAATATGTCGTTAAATCATGAACTCTTTTAGAGATTTTTATACAGTTAATCGACACATCATACGGTATATTAGCAATCAGTCAGCAGTTTAGCCGTGATTTTAATTGCTATTCAGTCAACCAAAAACGTGGCTCAAAGCATAAACTATAAATAAATAAATTAAATACGATACCAAACATTTCAAAAGGGTTAGATAACCATCCTTCTTCTTCAGCGTCAACGACATCATAATGCCCGTAAACCAAAATATTAAATGTTTTTTGAACCTTGCTGATATCAGTAGCCAATTTATTGTCTTTAATTCCTAAGAATTTACCAAATACTAAGGGATTTTTGCCAGGTGCACCTGGAAGCTGTTATAGTATAAAGTCTTAGTGACAATTGATGAATAAACTCAGAAATGAATGTACAACTAAAATAGAATGTTACCAAAAAAGCCGTAGCACCTAATTGCTCAAAAATACTTTTCAGAAATTTCGCACCACGAAGACATTCTTCAAGGTATCTTTCATTTCCACTGACTGTGCGTAATGAAACCCATTTTGATAATGCATATAACATGACATCTAGACAACAAAAGTCAAACCTTACAAAATTGTCACATAGAAAAATCACTATTGGTGGAATAGCGCATACCTGTAGCCGAAGTATCCATTGACTCTTGGTCATTAATTGATACAGGTAGGCTCCAAAACTATTATTGGTATAAATACATGTTATTAATCAAGCAAATCTGCAAATGCATTACTAATAAAAAACTAATTACTCATACCTTTATTAATTGGTCATTAGCACCGCTAATCAACCAACGTTTGTGTAATGATAACTCTATAGGTGATAATGTTAAGGAAAGTATAATTCCAGTATGATCTCTAAATGTATCTAAAATTTCAAAGGTTTTACTCCATTTCTTTTTTTTTTTTTAAAAAAAAAGATAAATTTAATATGTACATTAATAGCATATATAATCAAGTGATTAATCAAAATATTACCTTAATAGTGCCATCCGCCGATCCAGAATATAGGTTATTATCATTAATTGCTAATGTTAGAACATCATCCTATATTAATTAAAGGTGTGAGTGGATAATTAATATTTCATAACATATACACTAAGTATTTGGCCAAGTTATCATTCATAGTTATATTCGCTACTAGCTCACGTGTTTATACTGAAAAAAAAATTACACACAACTCTATCCCGGCGGCAATTTAGCAAGCTTCAACGCTTTACAATAAACTATATTTGCCCAAAACGAATGACAAGCCATTATTAAACAAATATAAATTTATTTTATTATTATTCTACGTTTCTATATGATCGCATGACGGAGTTTTATGACTCATAGTCACTACTTTAATCAGTAAAAAACCGAGTTTTTATAAATGCAAGTTATTTCTCCGGACTTCCGGGAAATAACAAGCGTTGCCGGGAAAACAACTTGCATTGATAAAAACTCGGTTTTTTTACTGGTTAAAGTAGTGACTATGAGCCATAAAATTCTGTCATGACATCCTATAAAAACGAAGAATAATACTTATTTCGCCGCTACGGAGAAATAGCCCGGTAGATCTCCACCCTGCTGTGGGCCTTTCGGGCTAGTACCCTAGCTATGGCGAAAAAAGTGTCGGGCATGTGAAATTCTACTCGAACTATCAAGTTCTGATTGGACGAAATTGACGATCCTTAAAAACGATATTATATATTTTGAGCGAAGATATCTTAGTAACTACATATCTAAACCTTTGAAAATTTTTTATTTTGATTCTATGAATCCATTGAATTAAAATAAAAAAATTTCAATCGAGATATCTTCGCTCAAAGTTTGGAAGAATGGCCATAATCTTTGTTTTGATAATCCTTTCGTCTAAACCTTTTTTTTTTTTTGAAGGTTATCTCGATAACTACCTACAGTCACCCTCTCAAATCTGATACGTATGGTGGACAGCTTTTAAATCTGTTTTGAGAGATTATCTGATTTAAAAATTGATTTAAAATACCAATAGCTTGCTGTCACATGATCACAAATAAATATAATTGGCTGGATTATATTTCTTATATATAATCTGTTACACCAATTTTTTATCGGTTATTATTATAGCAGGTTATCGGTTTTGGGAGGGTGTACTATATCTAAAATCGATGAATATTTTTTATATTGATTCTATGAATCCATAGAATCAAGTTAAAAAATCTTCATTGATCTTGGATAGGTAGCTATCGAGATATCATCGCTCAAATTTGTAAAGAACTTAGCCGCGGTCTTTGTTTTGATAATCGTCTTGAACTTAAACAAGGATATCTCGATAATTACCTATCTAAAATCGATGAAATTTTTTTATTTTGATTCTATGAATAAATAGAGTTAAAATAAAAAAAATTCATTGCTTTGGATAGGTAGTTATCGAGATACCATCGCTCAAATTTGTAAAGAACTTAGCCGCAGTCTTTGTTTTGATTTGATAATCGTCTAAATTTTTTTAAACTTTAAACAAATTTTTTTAGTTTGATTCTATGGATCAATAAAATTAAAATAAAAAAATTTATTGATTTTGGATAGGTAGTTATCGAGATATCATCGCTCAAATTTGTAAAGAACTTAGCCGCGGTCTTTGTTTTGATTTGATAATTGTCAAATTTTTTTTCAAGGATATCTCGATAACTACCTATCTACAATCGATGAAGTTTTTTTTTTATTTTGATTCTATGAATCCATATAATTAAAATAAAAAATTTTCATCGATTTTGAATAGGTAGTTATCGAGATATTCGTGTTTAAAGTTCGAAAAAATTTAAACGATTATCAAAACAAAGACCGTGGCTAAGTTCTTTACAAATTTGAGCGATGATATCTCGTTAACTACCTAGCCAAAATCAATAAAAAATTTTATTATAATTCTATTTATTAATAGAATCAGAATAAAAAAAATCTCATCGATTTTAGATAGGTAGTTATCGAGATATCCTTGTTTAAAGTTCAAAAACAAAAGGATTATCAAAACAAAGATATGGCTGTTCTTTCCAAACTTTGAGCGAAGATATCTCAGTAACCACCTATTAAAAGTCGAAGAAATTCTTTTATTTTAATTCCATGATCATAGAATAATCTTAATCGGTTTTAGATAGGTAGTTACTGAGATATATTCGCTATTGAGGATCGTCAATTTTGCCCAATCAGAGCGTGATAGTTCGATTAGAATCTCACATGTCCGACACTTTTTTTCGTCATGGCTAGGGTACTACCCTTCGGGCCCCAGATGTCTGGGGATGTACCTCTTATTCCCGCCGTTGCGGAAAATAAATAGTACTTATATACATATAAAATCACGATTATATCCAAGCTGTACCGTTGGCCACTGTACACAGTATCTCCAAAAATAATACCCCATGATTAAACCCGGGTATTATTCACCATCTCTATCATCCTGTTTATTGAACAAGACCCGGGGTATAACTATATTGATTTACTACTTTTAACATGATATTTCCCAAATATAATACCCAGTTCTTCACACATTATCCACAGGTACTATTCAATTTTAAAAATGGAGTTCTTGAATAAGATTCCGGATACTGTATTCAATGGCCAACGGTAGTACTAAACCGCACTAGGAGTACTCAATATCAAGCATAAGTTATAGAAATAATACCATTAAATTTTAGTATTAGAATTTCCTAAAATGCTGAACATTTTGCTTACTGTATAAACGCGAAATAATACTCTTTGGCGTTATTTTGAAATCGGATACCTCCAAAATGGTATATGCGGTTTCACACATCCTCATATAAAAAAGTATAAAAAAAATAAGTGCTCCGGAACTAGGTTGCTACTAAATAAACCTACATTCGAGCTTTAATAAAAGTTTTTAAAGCTCAGAAATACTGTGGTTTTACTTAGTACCAAACTTATTTTTGGAACACTTTTTAATTCTTATAAAAGAGTACCTCTAATAATTAAGGGGCCCTTATTTCGAAATAACGCACATTAGTGTATTCGAAATAAGGCACAATTAACGTGCAGATGGGCATTATCTCGCGCTTATACGGTAAACGCTAGTTTTTGAGATGATGAAACTTGTGTCCAAATACTTAGATCAACATTGCATATCTTAAGTACCTCATGAGCCACGAGAGAACGAATATTCTAGAAATATATAGATAGGAAATATGAAATATTAATAAACTTTTTATAAAACCAATATGAATTTGATATTAAGTTACCTGATAAGTTTCTAAGTCATAAATCTTTTACAAGTGTTAATCGATCTTGCTCGGATCCAGGCCACCTTATATAATTTACACAAACCTTAATATCTCCGCCTTGAGTACCACAGAATAATAAATCTTCATGCAACGCAAGAGTTAGGACGCCAGCATCTGTGCCTTTTAAAATTTGTAAAAGGTTCATTGAATTCTTCTCAATGGACCAAATCTAATAGTGTAATGTAAAACACACTTTCAGTTAATGATAATTTAAACGACTAACGCGTTAATGATTTCTAGATATACCTTCACATCACCATCACCAGATCCTACAAGAACAAAATTATATCTTTAAGAAAATAGACAAATTAAACATCTTAAAAAAATTATATAAATCTAAACACATACCACTAACCAAAATTTCACCATCCTTATTTTTTCCTAATAATAAAGCATACACATATCCGTTATGACTATTCCAATGTACCATTGTTTCATCAATTTCATATCTTGGAATATCATTATCACTAATATCATCTTCATGCTTGGGAATGTAACTAATCTCAGTATAAACATTAGCGGTCTCAGCTTCTTCGTTTTCACTTGAACATTTAACCGGCAAAGTACCAAAGAATTTGGAACATTTACATGTATTTAACGAATGTAAAGTTCTGTATTTTTCCTTATTAGACAGATCAAATTGCTAATAATTTGAATAAATAAATTTGAATCATAATTGATTTAAATTCGAACACGAGTTGATGAAAAACGGTTAAAACCTTACTTGTATACTGGTATTTTGACACCCAATATATAAGGTTTCCAAAGAATCGGAATAAACTACTGAAAACAGGTCTCCTACATCATGACTTGATTGTATCACATAAAGGCAATTCAGCGTTTCTGTATCCCAAACCTATTATCATTTTAAGGGAAAAAAAAAATTAATTTATCAAAAAAAAAAAAGAAAATTTACTTCGAGCTTAGGACTAAATAATCTCAATACATACCCGAACAGTTCCGTCTCCTATTTGATTGTAATTTGTGAATTTAATATGCGTATATTTTTTCATTTTCGATAATTAATAAATTCAGACAGATAGCTCTAGCTTACCGGAAGAACTAAATAACATGGTATAATCTTTTGATAGATTCAAGCACAATACACCGCCTGTGTGCCCTCTCAATGTCTTTATCAGCTGGAAGGTAGATAAGTCCCATACCTCAAAAAAGAACCCAAAATTAAAATAACAAGTCAAAAGTAAATAAAAATGTGAGTAATAAATTGACATGTAATGAAACCTGAAATGATATTACAAAACAACCATACATACTCGAATATAAGGATCTTGAGAACCGCTAAATAAATATTTATAACTACATACTAAGGAAAGTGCAGAATTGTCTCCGAGAGTTATTGTGTGGCTTGGTTTTGTAGGCTGAATTTCGAGCTTTTGTGGAATTCGATTTAAACTACCTGAAATTTGATTTCAAAAGTGTAAATCTTGCAAACTCAAAAAAAAAAAAAAAGGCTTTAGATCTTAAAAAATATTTACGTAAAGGAGTAGGACTATTGATTCTTTGTATTACTTCATATTTTGCATCAAAATTTTCGTTTATTGTCTTTTCAATCGGTTTCGAAGTAAGTAAAGACTGATTGAAATTAATAGAAGAATATTGCTGCATAGTCAAATTGATATAAATTACACAATCACTAACGCTAGGACGCGTTTATAAATTGAATAATTTATAATTCGCGATATGTCCGAACTGTCATATGATGATTATCGTATTACATCGTTGCTGATTATGTGGCCAAAATCGGCTGGCTTAATACTCTGAGACAAAAAAAAATCACATGTTCTCCACAAGATGAATTACTATATCGATATATATATTTAGATTTATAAAATTCTCTAATGAAACCAATCATTTTATTAAAGGTGTTGTCCGTAAAACTGATTCGCAAAACATTAGTAAACTTTTTATGACTGGAGCCAGAGATTCAAGAGAGAACGTCCCAAATATGGGGGATCGCTAAAGCGGGGTAACTATTATCAAGAAGGGTCGTGCAGTCAATTGACAAGTATAATGCCGATTAAGGATGTGGATCATAGGATCAACTTATAGCTAGATCGATTTTTATAGAAGTATTTTGACTAATCAAATAAATCAATTATTTGCAAATAATATTACATAGTACAAGAGATTTAAATCCTGAAAACACAACTCACTTCGTTACAGTGATGATTTGATATAGTGAAGAATTTTTTGAATTCCGGAATTATTAAACTCCAAACTCGATATAGTGAAGTACCTATAGTATTCTCTTGATACAAGCTACAGTGAAGATTTTTTAGCTCGGGGACTTCACTATAACGAGAGTGTACGGTATATTTTAATAAAATGAGGTTATCCGACAAACTCTTATGATCATGAAAAACTTTCTTTCTGTTATTTTTTTTCATGTGTTACGATGTAATTATGT